TTGTGTTGTGTAAAATCCTTTAGATATTATTCATCATATCAAACTTACACCAATAACCCATTATTGCGGTGCTCAAATCTAAAGACTGAGTGTGAGAGGTAGATTAAGGTACATTAGGGAATCTTATGTTTTTTGTGTGAAGTTTTACTGTTTGTATTAGGTAAAAGGATTGTTTCTTGTTCACATTGTTGATTGATGCTTAATTATCAAGCAAGAGAATAGTTTTCTCCATACTCCAAAGAAGACTTTGGTAGATCCAAATAAATATTATCGCAGATAAAAGTTGGAGATATCCCCATTCATTGTTAAAATAATCACCCAGAGAAGTCTTCAACACATCCAAGTAAATGGTGCTACATAATTGAAGCTTAAACCAGAATTATTGTGTCTTTCAAATTTGTTGGATCAAGATCATTAAAGATCTATAGTATTAGCAGTTAAGGAATGTGCATCAACAAAGGAATTATTATTTTAGATATTTGTTGGCTAAAGCAGTGAGTTGTTAGTGTTCGAGTTGATAATAATTCGTTGTACCAAAATACTTGTATCTTTAACTTCAAAAAAAAAGTGGAAGAGATTAGCATTTTCGATGTGAAAATCTTCATAAAGAGTGGAGTAGACATATATATGCAAATGTTGGAAAACAATTTAGGATGATATATGCAAATTTTGGGAGGCTATGAATGAAAATTTTAAGGTACAATTGGGAAATATTAGAGCTTCATTTCAGAAGATATTTTATGAATTTGAGCATGCGCATACTAGTCCATTTTATGGGAGTTTGTGCGGATCAGTAATAAGATGTGCTTTGAGACATATTGCTGAAGAGTGGTCAAGGGTTGACATGGTTGGTACGAACACCTAAATGTGTGGGTGTACTCATAGAAAAGTATATGGGTTACCTTGTGCTTGTGAATTAGGGAGATACACGTTGAGTGGTGGTCCAATACCAATTAATGTTATTCATATCTATTGGAGGAAGTTAAGCATGAGAGGTGAACAAGAGGTAGATACAGAGGATGGATCAGATGTGGACATGGAAAATGCAATTGATACACTATGAAAAAGGTTCAGGTCACTAGATTTTGCAGGAAAAAGAACACTAAAAATCAGGGTTTGTGGAATTGTTTACCCCACTACAATAAGGATGTGTCCACCTCTTGAAAAAATAAAAACCAAAGGAGGGGTGAAGACGAAAGGGAAGAAGTCTATGAGATATGATATTTATCGTGATCCTTCATATCATGAGTATGTTGATCAAGTAAATTACAGTTCTAAAAAATCTTCAAAGAGGTCATGTTCATAGTTATCCCAAACCTCAAAGAAGAAACCATCTAATAAGTTCATTATATAATTTCTAAATCATATCAGACCATTTATTGATGACATTATTGATGTTAAGAATGACGTAAATTGTGGGTTTAGAGTCATTGCATCATTGCATGGATATGGTGGGGATGGTTGGTCAATAGTTCGTCATGACTTGGATAATAAAATTAGAGGTTCTGGAAGCAGTCTCTATGAGAAGTTATTTGGAAGTCACTTATCAGAAGTGAGAGAATCCTTGATGATATCATCTTTAAGTCCTCAACCACCAGAGAAATGGATGACATTACCAGGAATGTGTTATGTGGTAAAAAAAATTGGTATAACGTCATTCTTATCTTTTTGGGTTATCCTAGTTTGACTTTCTTTTCTATGACGACTTTACATTCACCTAATGTGTCCATTTACTGCATCAGTTTGTTAACCAAGATCATTGGGTTCAAGTAGTTAAATATTCATGTTTGTTAAGTTAATTACTTATCCTTTATGTATGTCTTACTTGCTTTTCTTTTGATATTAATTTTCTAAATAGGTAAACAGGAATGAACGATTTTCGTTACCACCGATCACATTGGATTGGAAAAAATATCACACACTAGAAGCAACTTCTTGAATGATAGGATTTGCTGGACGGTTACAACATTTGCAACACCTTTACACCTGTAGTGCCACAATATGTTAGATTATAATTGTAATGTGATTGTTATATTTTGGTTTATATTGACAATTGACTTCATGTTATATTTAATTCTTGTTATATTTTGGATTATATTCCATAACTCTTAAAATACTACATAAGTCTAAAAAGTACTACATAACTGAGAACTACATAAGTTTGATAATAGTACATAATTCTGAAAAATACTACATAACTAAGAATAGTAAATAATACATCAATTATCATCGTCCTCATTAGCCTGAGGTAATGGTCTGCCCTGAGGTACCAGTCTACCCTGAGCTACACGTAGTGCTCGAAATACCTCAGCAAAATCATCATCATCCTCTTCCACCTCATGAGATGAAAATAACGACGAAGCTCATGTGAAATAAACGATAACCTAGGACTTGATGGTCCTTTGTCATAGACAGGAACCGGGACCTGTCTCGCCTTTCCCAAGGTGGTGGTACCAAATAGGATGTGACACCATATGGTACCAAGCCAAGTAATCAACATCCACATCATATGGGGTGGTAACAAAAAACTAACGGACAAATCACTTCTCTCACACTCACATGATATGAAATCTACTCAAAATCCAAATCAAGTGTGAGAATCAAGAAGTGAAGGCGGCATGTATAGCCTATATCCAAACTGACGCAAACTTCTATCAAGTATAGTACAACTTGCCATACCATTTCAAGCCACCTCTGTACAAGCATAGATCATCAAATGGTCGGTTATGTCTATGATCCTCAAAAGGGGGCCTAAATGACATCAACAGGTGTCAATCCATCCAACACAGACCTAAGCTCATCAGCCTTTTGTGCGTCTTACTTGTACATCCATTTCATTGCCTTGGGAAGTGGATTACCAATACCAATAACCTTAGACAATCCTCTATTGCACACAGTTGAAAAATGCTCATGAATCCAACATTGTTACACAACATGAATATTATCAATTAAAATTGTTATAAATAAGTTAATATAAGTTAAAATAAAATTAAAATAAAATATTTGTAATTGTAGCAAAGAAACATATCCCTAAGTTGCTTGCAATTATAAAAAGGAAACATCTCCTAGATATCTGTAGAGTGTGACAAGTTCAGCTGCCCCCAATCAGTATCTACCATATCCAGACAAGTCTCTAAATAGTGATAAATACTTTGCCTTACAAGAGTAAAGGTCTTGTCGACAAAAATGGTGCAGTTTACCAACAACAACATATAGGCTATAGGTGCAGAGTCAAATCTATTATCAGCTCAAATGCAGCTTATAATACGAACTACTACAACTACGAACCTCTTCAGCTGCCTCCTCCAACGGAACACTCAACAAATCAATAGTCAGAGTAATAGCATCAAAATCAGTGAAACCTCGTCTAGGGTTACAGAACTCCCCTAACGGAATAGACATGAAATGTCGTCCAATGTAATGCTCATCTCGCCAAATGGCATATGAAAGGACGATGTTTATGGATGTCTTCTCTCCACAAATGCTGATACTAAATTCTGATCTATCCTCGACAAACTGGTTTTGTAGAGAGGATAGATCAGAATCAGACAACCATCTCTCTTTTAGCAGTGGGAGACTATGTAGAATTTATCCTATCAATTTGCTACCATATGCAACAATCTTTAATTCTTTCTTCAGATTTCTCTCCTTAAAAAGATTATAGTATATGTCATAAAATATAACTAATTAAAATTAAATTTGACTCAACATAAAATGATAGAGGTTAACTTACTTCGTCGAACCACAAATGGGGAGTAACATGATCCTGATACCTCACCAGAAGAGACATTTCGAACGGCCCTCCGGGAAACTGCTACTACTGTGGACGAGGCACATGTGCGGCCCTCCGGGAAACTGCTACTACTGTGGACGAGGCACATGTGCGACTACCTGATGTTCCTCTCGATCTATCGCCTGTTGAGGTTGTCGGTCTTCACCTGTTCGTCGATAAATGATCTCGTCCCGACCTCTAATGGGCGCCACTAAAAATAACAAAATAAAAATAAAAATTGAAAGTAAAAAACACGAACCAAATAATTTTAAACTAAGTTCTCTTGATGAAATTAAAAACCGAATAACCTTGGTGCTAGTTTTTCGGTGTACAACTTCAAGAACTAGATATCATGGTCACAAGTTATCTTGCTAGCATAAATGTGAACAAGATTATTATATGTGCCAAGTTAAGTTCTCCAGTGTGTAACATTTTTCAGAAGAATCCGAATAACTTGTGTGTTTTCCAATGTGAAAGAACTAAAGAACCAGTTTCTTCTATGTTCTCTAATTTGTTTTCTTCTGCATTCTCTGATTTGTAAATGAAACAAATATCTCAGGTGTGTGTTTTTCGAATTTCACATGCTCTCGCTCTAAAATAAAATGAGAAAAAAATAATTAAAAAATAAAATAAAATATAAGTATTTATACAAGGATGTTTTGAACAAATTCATAATTTATAAGGATGGAGGGATAAATGAAAGAAAATGAGGTAAAATTTTCAAGAACTTATAAACGATAGAAAATAAACTAACTTTTTTCGTGCATATAGCATATAATCTGATTAATCGCGTTTAAAATTGAGTAAAATTTATAGTTGAATGGACAAATTGAGGTTGCAAAACATGTTATAATTATAACTACCTATAAATTATATTATGAAAAAGAAGTACAACTTGTATTTTATAAACATTGAAGAATATTCTCATATTCATAACTAAAATTCCAGCAATATCGCTCTGAAGAAAAAGAGGACTGGTCTAACGCAAACCGATAAGGGTGCATAGAAGAATAGTAAACATCATTTTGGGTGTTCTGATTACTAAACACAGAGGCGGTGAATATCTATTTAGGTTTCAAAAGAAAGCAAGAACAAACATGTTTCAATGCTACAGGATTGGTGTTCCCCCTAACAGTCTCTAGATATATTATACTACAAACAAACCAACCATAATTAGCATCAACAACAGCATGCAGCAAACTTGTGATGATGTTTCTCAGACATCACCTTAAGTTATCTTAGCTTTTTTGTTAGCAGAATCCTTCTGCTCAATATATTCCGGGATAGTGTCTTGCATTATCTTTGGGGAAGAAAAATCGAAATCTGAAGCAGATACACCAGTTAGTTCTGGATGGTCTTTCAGATATGCTGCTATCTCATTGCGGGTTCTCAGTTTTTTACCTGTAGGTGTGATGTAGTACGAGTCCAATTTAGAGTAATCTTTCCTCAGCACCAAGGTTCTCTTGAAACCTTGTGGAGTCTTTGGAAGATTAGGCTTGTCAATGACCCATGTCCGAGTAGAATCATATTCAATATCAGCAGGATCATCACAGCTACAATTAGCCTTTCTGCTACAATCAAAAGGCTCTCGAATGATTTTATGTCGGATCTCTTCAAACTCCTCCTGCGTATCAATCACTCTCCATTTCATGCAACTTTTGCACTGCGCCGCATATATATCAACTGAACCTTGAGTTGACACTGCTCTCTGCACAATAATTAACCAGCAATTTAGAAAGCAGCTGAAGTTCAGCTTTTAAGATTAAACCCAAAAAAAAAACTATTAATATTACATACTATTGCAGAAAACCCCAAAAAGAGATAAAGTCCTAACACAACCTATATAGAGTGCGAAACTCATCACTTTACAAACCGGTCAAGTATAAAACCCAATTATTGTATCATAGTCCATCCAACCGGGCTACCCAACAAATTATCCACTCACCAAGCCCAATAGTGCTCCGTGTGAGAGGGTGGAGTGGGAAATACTCAAGTTTAGGATGAGTCAAATCCAATATTAAAACCCTAATAGAGACTTAGCAATATATGAAAAATTGCAATTCAATTTTGATTCTATAAGCTTGCATTTTTTCTTCTTGTTGTATGAATCTATTAGCTTCCTTTATCATATAGTAAATCTGACACTAACTAACTACTCACACGTAACAGCAATAAATTGAAAGAGCAAACTCTACTCTATCACAGTTTAACAAAAAAATTGTTATTCCAAACTCTGGATTACTAGCTAACAATATTTGACCTCGTACCTCTCAGACCGATCTGGATTACTAGGGCCCCTTTCCCCTGAGAAAGGGAGGGTGAAGACAAAAACAAAAACAAATAAATTGTTAGTCACTAAGTAATTTACTAGATAATCATTGAATCCACTAGAAACAGAAGATTAACAAATAATAATCTTTATAATTTACGGACGGAATTGATCACTTGATCTAAGAGAATCGGATAGACTCTCACAACATAAAGAATCAAATTCAAAACCACATGTAACTGAGGGATCTAAAGTCTAAACCCTTCCGATTCAACAAACACACATAGATAAATTAACAAGCAATCAAAATTACAAAAACCAATAAACAATACCAGTGATCGAAAAACATGCATTTACGAATCCAGAAAAGAATGAATCAAGAAATATAGTTCAAAAGTAATGGATAAAAAAGCCCTAAAAGTAAAAAAGAGGAATTGGGTCCTAGAGAGAGTTCAAAATTGTAGTTACTAGTAGTACCTTGTTAGAAGAGGGTGGAGTTTTGGAGACATCTTGAGTGCTTGACATTGATTCAGCTAAGAAATGGAACTGAAATTGCAGATTAAGCCCTCGGAGAAGAGGAATTCGATCTTGTCTGAAACAGTGTTTAGGGTTTGAAGAAGAGAAACGACACTAACGTTTCTCTTCTTTCTGGGTAGGTGGCGTTGAACAGAAGAGAGAGAAATCAAATAGTATGTTTTTCCTCCGCAATTTTTTAGTGATTTTTTTTTTTTTTTATGTTTTTAGTATTACTATAAATTTAGATTTTATAAAAGTTAAGTTAAATTGAAATTCTATGTACATTATGTATTATCATAAAGTTTTGCATAAAATAAAATCAATTATTTTAATTTAACAAGACTCAAAATTCGTATTTTAAATCTAAGTTTTCATTTTTTTATATATTTTTTTACTTTATTTTTATCTCTCAGCAAGAAAAAAAATTGCTTCAAAATTTTATATTTATTTTATTTATGAATTTAATTGAAATGTACTAATAGTATAAAAAAAATTTTACACTGTGAGTTAATCATAACCATTAAACGTTAGAAGAAGTTTGACTTTTATTTTAATCATTAATAAAATAATACCAACGAATGATGGTGATTAATTAATAGTATAAAACTTTTTACATTAACAATTTATAGTAATTAATCTCTTTATATTTATTGTTAAAGAATTTTTTTTTTTTTTGACAATGATGTTTATAATTTTGTTAATCAACATAATGCTAAAAAAATTATAAGATAATTTTTTTTAAAAGATAAAATTTATATTATAAAAAATATATATATATATATATATATTATAAAAGGAAAAAAATGAAAAGTCAGACTTAATTCAAAAAAAATTGAAATAAATAAATACATAAAATTATTACCTTTATTCGGGTGTTATGTAACCTGTGATATGTTTTTTTTTTAAGAAAATACTTAATTCATTTCAATAATAATAAGACTTTGAATACATGCGGGTACATCGATAAAATTTTAGAAACTAGTCAGAGATGGAGTTATCAGTGCCAAAACATGAGCAATCTCATTAGTTTGTCTCCTAACGAACTTAACATGAGAGTTCATTAATAAAATAGCTAATAAGTGATTACATTCTCGAGTAATAGCACCAAAATCTGAATCATTTAGTTGCTGAATATTCACACTATCCATTACGCTTTTAGCATCCAACTCAAAATCCACACTATCAACAAGCCCATGCACCCATTTAATAGATGCCAATAAACCTAAAGCTTCCCCAACATCGACTTTAGTACTAGGCGAAAACTACTCAGACTGGGCTGCAACAAACAAACTCTCATCATCTATAATGCAAGCACATATTCTTACCTTATTGTTAGAAAAAGATGCATTAATGTTGCATTTCAGACGACATGCCAAAGGCTTGTTCCACTTAATATCATTTGACATTTGGGTTTGGGGTGTATTACTCGTTCTAAGTTGTTGAACATTTCCCCAACCTGACAATAAGTTCGAAGCACGATTACAAATAGAGTATGTGGAGTCTTCGATATGATTCCAAATATGGTTATTCATGCATTTTCATATACTCTACGAAATAGTTGAGATCATTGCTTGATGCTCTTGATTTGAGACCTTCTTTGATATGTCTTTCTTTGTTGCATTACAAATTACTTTTATAAAATAACTTTCTTTCTCGTTAATGTAGTCATATGTTTAGTGTCTGTGGCATTTTTACATATCCAATTCTTCAAAATCTGCATATCAAAAATAAATTTATGATGCATTTTAATTTTACTACCTAGTTGCTCCTCTTTTGTTTCATTTCTTGATTTTTCGTTGAATTTGTACTTGTTTGAGAATTGTGAATTTCACTTGAAATTGTATTGCAGTCAGTATCATTTATTTTAATGTTCTGTCCATTTTTTTTTATCTATATGTGTGTAATTTGATTTATCGCATATGTATAATTCGTTTGTAATTTGATTATAAATTTATCACTTCATTTGTGAGACACCTCTACATTTAATCTATTGAAATTAGACCCATAAAAATATGACTTTTAGCCTTTGCAATTTGATATAAGTCAAAATATTGGGTGATCATGAATCACAAGTTAGAAGTCTTCAATAAAGGTTTTTGTAGTATGAGAAGTTTGTAGTTGTGTTGTGTAAAATCCTTTAGATATTATTCATCATATCAACCTTACACCAATAATTCATTGGTGTGGTGCTCAACTCTAAAGATTGAGTGTGAGAGGTAGATTAAGGTATATTAGGGAATCTAATGTTTTTTGTATGAAGTTTTGTTGTTTATATTAGGTAAAGGGATTTTTTCTTGTTCACATTGTTGATTGATGCTTAATTATCAAGAAAGACAATAATTTTCTCCATACTCCAAAGAAGACTTTGATAGATCTGAATAAATATTATCGCAGATAAAAGTTAGAGTTATCCTCATTTATTGTTAAAACAATTACTTAGACAAGTCTTCATCAGATCCAAGTAAAGGGTGCTACAGAATTGAAGCTAAGACCATAATTATTGTGTCTTTCAAATTTGTTGAATCAAGATTATTAAAGATCTCTATGTCGCACCTCAAAAAATACAAATCAAAAATACGACCCTCGCGCGAAAGGCGCGAAAGAAATTTGGTTCGACAGAGTCGCCGCCGAACTTTATTTATCCCCAAAAGGGAATGGAAAATATTGAGAAAATCTTTAAAGAGATAACAACATGATCATCAAAACCACATTCTGGGTTCGGAGTCGGTTACATAGAGGGAAGGTATTAACACCCCTCTACGTCCGTTGTACTCAACGGGAACCTCTTAGTTCGAATTGTGATGAACGTTAGCTAAGCTTTTATGTTTTCTTCTAAATGAGATAAAGCGAAAAGATAAAGGAAAAGAGCTCGATTGCTATGGGAAATGGGTGGTTTTAAGATAGGGTACTCGTCAAGGATTGGGGCCCTTGTGCCTACGTATCTTCATTTGGACGAGAATGAAGAATCAGAGTGTTCGTAGTTCGTGCGTGTGACCACGAAAGAAAGGGAAAAGTGTTTTGCTTGGATGACGATTACTTGAAGCTTAAGAAAGGCTCCTCGGACCCAAGTAATTGGGAGAGTGAATCGAAGACTCAACTCTCTCTCTTTTTCAACCTTAATTGTGAAAGAGTTTTGATATAGTTAGAGTAAATTGAACGGATGACGATTACTCGAAGCTTAAGAAAGGATCCTCGGGCCCAAGTAATCGGGAGAGTGAATCGAAGTATCGACACTCTCTCTTTTTCAACCTTAATTTGTGAAAGAGTTTCGATAGTTGTTATGTGTTTTGAAGTTTGATTGAGAAAATCCACTTGATGTTGGATCAAGGGGTTGATTATATGCAAAGAGATTGATTGCAAGGCAAAAGGCACTCGACTTAAAAGTTGATTGAAAATGGTTCGACTATGAATCGAGGGTTTGCGAAAAGAGGTGTGAATCGATCCTCGTTCTTAGGGGTGCTCCTAGTAACGAAACCACGACGAAAGGTTTGAGTGTGTGCATTAGGTTGATGGTGATGCTTGCGAGCAATCGACTTACAAGGGAGTTTTGAAAATGCCCCGATATCGAAGCAAGAATTAGTTTGAAAATGGTTTGAAGCATTAAAGAACAATCAAGAAAAAAGCGATAAAGCTATTACATTTTATGGGTATGGGGTAAATTTTGTCGAATAGGGATGAAATAACACAAAAGCAAGCATATAAAATAAATCGAATCGAGTTTGTCACAATGTGCTCCAAAGCCAGTTTGTGTGTAATGACAACATGATGAATGTCATATATTTGGGTTATAACGCGGCAGAAATTTCCATGGATGTATAGGAGTTTGATGGCATAATGGTATAGAATTACCGAATCCAAAGATCGAAGTATGATTAAAAATAAAACTAAATAGTAACCAAATTGAATTATTTATAATATTTCAAATTTTATAGGTGATGCAAATAAAATAAAAGAGAAAATACTTATTTTTCTAATTTTTTAATTTGAACAAATAAAATAAAAGTTAATTTATGATTGGCTAATAAGAAAATGTAAAGACAAGGCATGTGAACCTTTGATTAAATTCGAATCCACGACTCAGATTAAATCAAAGAAGCACACTTAATTTAAAATATCAAAGTTGCCCCTTCTAGAAATTTTTATTAATTTAAATAGAATTAAATTAATTAAAAAACCACTAAAATTCACAACTTATTAAATAAACATGATAAAAATAAAATACAAGCATGGAAAATTCTAATTAATTATTCTGAATATTTTGATGAAAATATAAAATTAAGTCGACTGAAAATGAATAAAAATAAGGCGCCTAAGTGCCTGAAAAAAATAAATCGACCGCACCAAAATGATTAGCGCGGAATAAACGACTCGGAAAAAATACAACGTTTGGTCAGATTTGAAAATTCACTAGGACCGGTAAAAAGGCTCAGTCTGATCGAAAAATGATTGAAAAGTTGTTGAAAAATAAGACGAGCCCTCCAGGTTAAACTTTGCGAATAATAGGTCAATGTTAATGACGTCTGCAATCTTAAATTTGAGACTTGTTATTCAGGGATTTATGCATATTTGAAAGACAATTTAAACAGTCGGTCTACATCTCCGAGGATTCATTCTTGTCCAATTATTTTTAGGGATTATTCATGATAGAAGATATGTTATGCCATAGAGGCGATGCAAACTAAAAAATAAAATCAGATGCAGGAAAAATTAAAAAAGGTAGGACAAATTTGGGGTATGATAGATGTCCTTATCTAATTGGCTTAAACCTAGTCAGATGAACTGCCACGGTGTTCATTCTTACGAGATAGAAGTCAATTAGATATGACGAAGACTCCAAATTTGTGCGAAAAGAAAGGAAATTCCTGGGAAGTAGAATAATAAATCAATGTCAACCCTCGAGTGGACACTGAAATACTTGCAAAGATCGTCATCACCAAAAGGATGATAATAGAAAGTTCTGACGCCAAAAGGATGGCAGATCTATCACCAAAAGGATGATAGTGAACTCA